GTTTCCTGCTTAGTTAATGCAGGGAGGGCCATCTCAGTCCCATCTCTCCACTGGGCCCAGAGTGCGGCCATATGTGTGTTGGATCTCTTTGCTTTCAAAGCTTCTGTCATTACTGTTTATTACCTCTGGACCCCAGAGTCTGACTGGGAGGGAGGCAGTTGTGCGGGACCAAATTAATGGCTTTATTTGGGAGTCTCAAATGAGAGAGAGAGAGAGAGAGAGAGAGAGAGAGAGAGAGAGAGAGAGAGAGGATTTGGGAAAGTGTTTGATGCCTCATCTCACAAAAATCTCACTCTCCAAACTGATTTGATGGTCAGATGGCTTGGATGCTGGTCATTGACCCAAGCAAAAGCCAGAGGCAGGTGACAATGGATGTGCTAGGTACGAGGCACCAGGAGGAGGCTGCATGGGGCTCCGAGGCAGGGTGACTCTTAATTACACTCTTGTCTGATGAGCAGCCTAACCAGACCATCAATAACTGCTGACAGATGGGGACAGGTGAGGTGTCAGCAGGAAGGAAAACTGGGCCAGCGAGTTCTGCCCATCTGGATGCTAATGTCCATCAAAACCCCGGACCTCAGTTTTCCCATCTCTCCTGTTTCAAGGGAATGTATAAATGCCCAAGAGGACAGGGTGGCCAGAAGCATACCCTGCTTGTGTTTGTGGAGTGTATGTTGCTCTCTAGACCTGGGTACTTCTAGTGTGTGTCTAGGGCAGTGCACTGGGTACAGCTGCACAGGTTATACACACTGCACATTTCCTGGGACTTTTGCAGCAGTGTCCTTGTGTCTGGAAATGTATGTGAGGGTGTATATGTGTATGCGGACAGAGTGGGTGGGCTGGAGATGAAGCTGCACCCCTGTGGAAGAACAAAAGCTCATTCCTCCTTACTAAGTGTCCCAGGCCCCCAGCCGCCATTCCCTTGTAATAAGGAGGGGATAATGCTATTTCTTAGTCTTTATTTGCCCAGAGTGCCTATGATTTTCTTTCTTTCAGAATCCAATTTTCTCTTGACATTTCTGCCTGATGTAGCAAAGCATGACCTTTGTAAGAGGACGTGGCTGGCAGCCTGCTTTCTGCCTGGGGCTCCCCAGAACTCCTGGAAGGCTCGCTGCCTGTTCCTTTCTCGGAAAGGAGCCAGGCTGCCCGGTGTACCTGGGCCAGTCCTGCCTCTAGGATGGCTTGTTCCTAACAGTAGCCTCCTTCTACCAGAGGTGTGCTTTATCAGGAGCATGCTCCTCCAGGCTCAGTGAGCACGAGGTCCCTGCAGGCTGCCAGTGCTCAGCTTGTTGAAGCATGGTTTTTGTCCAATGAAGCACTGAAGAAAACCAGGGAACTAAAGGTGCAGCCTGGGAATCTTTCCAAATTTCTGCCAGGATTCCCTCACGAATTTGGAAGTTTAGGAATAGTTTAAGTGTGTGTGTGTGTGTGTGTGTGTGTGTGTGTGTGTGTGTGTGTGTGTGTGTGTATACATGTGTAGACATATACGTAATATCAGAGGTCAGCCTTGGGTGCCATTTCCTAGGAGCCATATATACTGTTGTTTTTGTTTTTATTTTTGGATACAATCTCTTATTGGAATCTGGAGTTCTATGATTAGGAGAGTCTAGCTGGCTGGCGGTCGCTGGGGATCCACCTATTTCTACCTCCCCAGTGCTTGGTTTACAAGCTTGTTCTGCCATGCCTGACTTTTTATGTGTATTCTGGGACTCCCTCTCAGGTCCTCATGCTTACACGGCAAACATTTTACTGACAGAACTATCTCCTCAGTCCCCATTGTTCAAGGTTTACTCCCAAGGATGCTGTTGTGTGTAGACAGCAAACAGGAACAACAGAGCCAGTAAAACGACTTCTACCTGGGTGGTCCAAGCACTCAGATTTGTTACAGCATCACCCCGGCTATCGGCAATGAAGACCCAGAGACCTGTGGCCTTTGGTCCCAACTTGTGAGCTCCAAGGCTCCTGGTTATGTTTGGGCAGTGACTCTGTGGGAATTTTCAAGATCTATTGTGCTCCTCTGAGCACGAGTGTTTGCTTTGGGGAGCTTGCCCTGGGGGCTACCTTAAATGATCTCGGTACAGTTCCTGTGGAACCCCAGTTCTTCTCGTAGGTGGGTAATGGTAGAAGTTTGTAGGAATAAGTCACAGGGGCTTTGTGAAGCGGACCACAATGAATGGCTCAAGATGGCTCTTTATGAACATGTGGTATCACACCAGAACCCCCAACCCTGTAGAGGTGTGGGACTGCTTGGGCCCATGGGGTCATCCTGGAGAGCTCTTTGTGGGTTAAAGGTCCTTAGAGACAACAATAAACACAGGGAAGAGAACAGAGCAGCAGACTTTGAAGCTACCTGCATGTGGTCTCTTTCCTTTCTACAGCGGTCCCCTGTACCCTTAGAGTTATAAACTGTCTTAGAAAGTTAGCTGGTTTAGGACAGTGTAGGATCCAATCATCTTATCACAAATAAGCTGCATCTAATGAAAAATGGGATGCCCTATTTCTAAACTGTTCTTACGTTGGAATATCTGTTCTTGTTTCCTGATGAGCACATTCTCAATTCCATAGGTCTCAGTATAAATGCATCTCTCCAATAGACTATTTGATTTCACTCTCTGGGTGTCTAACAGGCATCTCAAGCTTAATGTTCACAAGAAATGGGGAGCTCTTCTGTTAATACATTAACTTTTATTAATAGCTAGATATTACTTGTATAAATGATGGGTTTATTGTGACATTTTCATACATGCATATCACATATGAATAACATATAACATATCCATCTGTCATTACCTTCTCTCGACTTTCTCTCCTCTGTTAGTTGATCTGAGAGGACCATTTTGGCCCCACTGCTCAAATGTGATCTGTTAGTAGGCTTCCTCATCTTACTAAATGCCTCATTAGTCACTAGTATATTAGTCTTGGTTGTGTGACAAAAGACTTGACATAAAAATTTAGGGCCTTTAATCCCAGCACTCGGGAGGCAGAGCCAAGCGGATCTCTGTGAGTTCGAGGCGCAAAGCTACACAGAGAAACCCTGTCTCGAAAAAAAAAAAAAAAAAAAAAAAAAAAAAAAAAGGCGTGTGCCACCACCGGAAGTTGGTAGCTTTTGGCCGGGCGGTGGTGGCGCACGCCTTTAATCCCAGCACTCGGGAGGCAGAGCCAGGCGGATCTCTGTGAGTTCGAGGCCAGCCTGGGCTACCAAGTGAGTCCCAGGAAAGGCGCAAAGCTGCACAGAGAAACCCTGTCTTGAAAAACCAAAAAATAAAAAAAAAAAAAAAAAAAAAAATTTAGGGAAGAATATTTCGGCTGATGGTTTGTTGGTCTCGTGTCCTCAAGCATCACATCATGGTGGTGTGTAGAAGGCTGTTGACTTCTTGATAGACAGGAGGCAGACAGTACTACAAGAAGGGCCTGGAGGTAATATATTTCCAAGGACTCATCTCTAGTGATCTACCTCCGCTAGGTGGGTCCCACCACCTAATGTTTTCATGACTTCTCAAAATAAGGCCACCAGACGGAGAAGAAACATTCAAAATACGTATCTTTGGAGGCCATTCCATATTCTGACCACAACACCCATCACTCCTCAATTCACTCTCCTCTTTTCTCAGAGCTAGCTGCAGGTTCTGGTGGCATTACCTCCAGCACTAATCTTGAACCCATCTCTCCTTTTTTGTTGTTGTTTTTTCTTGCTTAGAAGCTAGGTAAGGTCCCCTCACTATCCTGTCAACTTTCAGTCTTGGTCTTCCATTGAAAAAAGTGGTGTTTAGTTTATGATACATCGCCACTAAGAGTCACCCAATGCTTCCTGTTGCTCTTTGGAGTAATGCCAGTCTCCTCCCAAGGTCTGAAAATGTGGCACGAATCCCTCTCCTACTTATCCTTAGTCTCTGTAACTCCGTTTCTGGTGGGGCTTCTTCCTGGCTCTCAGCTCATTATCATTCTTTCTTTTCCCAGGTGTCATGCTAACTATTCAGAAGGTTCTTCTCCAAGCACCCAAGTAAAGTAGCCCCACTCCCAATTACCCTTGTCATTTTGTTTAGACGAGTCTTTCCGCTTATTCATTTGTAATGTGAAGACAAGGTTCCATCATGCTCGTCAGACCTCAGCATAGCCTGTATCTGACTCTTCTACTTGCTACAGAAGTCACCTAAATATAAGTACACATGGAAGCGTGTGTGTGTGTGTGTGTGTGTGTGTGTGTGTGTGTGTGTGTGTGCACGCATGCGTGTAAACAAAAGTCTGTGTTTGCATTGTTACCTACGTGTTTAATAGATACAAATATACACATGTTCATTTGTGTATGGATGGATATTTATCTAAATGGAACCAGCACTGCCGTCCATTCCCATCGGCAAATGAGTGCATCGTTCCTGGGTTGCCACTTGGTTTCTCCCAGTGCCTAAGGGCTGTTATCACATCAAAAGTTGTTTGTTGAGCCTGGCAAAGTAATAACCGTGGGCGTGTTTCTTCTTTTATTCAGAAGACTAATGGCTGCTCCCTTCCCCTGTACATCCTAATGAGAACAATTAAATAGCCATTAGGAGAAGAGATGTGTGAACAAAGGCTGATGTCTTGATCTCTGGAATGGGCATGTGTTCTTGGGGAGGGGTGAGTGAGAAGAATTTATAAGGAACCTGAAGACTTCCTGCCTGTGTGGATGTAAAAGATGCTGTGGGCTTGGTTATCCCTAGAACTATTGTCTAGAGGAGCTTGCTTCAAACAGGCTCCCCAAGCTTTTATTAAAGGGCAGCACGAGGAGTAACCAAGAGAACCGTATTGTTCCTTAGATGGGTAAAACCTTACCCTTGAAAAGGCTTCAGCATCCCCTTCACCCCTGCCCCATGGTCTCAACTATTAGCAGACATATCTTTAGTAAAATAGGGTGAAGGAAAGGAAGCACACCAAAGCCTGCCTCCAGACAACCAAGTCCTCCATTGAGGGCCTTCCTGATGCTGGATCTGCCCTTTAACTACCTCTTTATTTGTTGATTTTTGCAGAAACTTGTCGAGTAACCGGCTCACCACACTCTCCTGGCAACTCTTCCAGACGCTGAGTCTTCGGGAATTGTAAGTTCGGAATTGAAGACTCTGTCCAGGTGGCGGAGTGCTGGTAATGATTGGGTGGGGAAAGAGTGTCAAGCATTGGCATTACCTGGTGGCTGGGCTGTTTGGGTTGGATGGCATTGGGAATACCATGTTCAGTGACAGTGATGCACCCCCATCCACGGACTTGACTTGGGAGGCTTTTACTAAGCACACTCTGTTTCAAAAGACAGAACCTCATCTTTCATCAGCTTTTGGTTTTGGGATCTGCAGGTAATTAGCAGTAATAATTTTAATACTTATAATAATGAAGATATCAATTGATTTCTAATAAATAATATTTGCTATACATAACTTTGTAGCTTTGTTGGGTATGCTTTTCTTACATGATCTTAGAATTACCATAATAAGACTCATGGGAGGCAGGTATAATTTTCTGCATTTTGTAGACTCTGAGCCCTAGAAACCCACTCAAGAATCAACTACAGTTGCATTGCTAAGGACTTGCATAGTTGATACTTGGGCATGGCCTTCCAGCTTCAGACTGTACAGCCTTCACGGTGCTCATGATGTCCTATCAACTCATTTGGCTTGATGTCTAGGCATTCTGAGCATGGGAGAGGGCATATATTTATTTTATCTGCGTGTGGACTGCTTAGCTTTGCTGCATTCCAAGGCTGATCAATGCACTTTTACCCTAGCCAGCCATTTTGTGAAAACAGATGTAGGCTGGATAAGTGCGAATTCGTGACCACTGCTGGAGACTGGAGAAAATAACTCATGTTGCTCTGTGAGTCATCAGGGTCATCTCTGTGCATGAAGGACAGTCTATTATGTTGAGGGAATAAATCAAGGAACAAATTGAAAAGGAATTGAGGCATGGATGGAGTTAGGGAGTCTGAGTTTTAGAGAGAGTGCTCATGTGTTCCTTTTTACTTTATGACTCAGATCCAAATTCCCTGTCTGTGATCACAGCGTTTACCAGGAAGCAAAGACCTTGGACCTCTGCCTGGGCTATGGGCCTTTCACCTTCTCTTTCCACCTGCCCAGACCTGTGTTCATGAATAAATTATAACTTTGGTTTTTCAGACCAGCTGATAGAAATGAGACTATTTACATCCCAGTAACTCATTACCCTTTACAACTTTGCTTATCCTGTCTTTGTGGCCTGACTGTGTAGTTGAAGTTTTTTTGTGTCCTGCCCACTCTGCAGCCATCAGACCCAAGTAAACACACAGAGGCTTATATTAATTAAAACTGCTTGGCCATTAGTTCAGGCTAACTACTGACTAGTTCTTACACTTAAACTCAGCCCATTTTTGTTAATCTGTACATTGTCACATGTTTCATGGCTTTACCTGTGTGCCATTACGTGACTGCTCACATGATCCTTCCCAAACCCATCCCAGGGATGAACAGAGAGAGATTGTCACTTTGAAGGTGTTGCTAACTGGGCTTCGTGGTAGTCTCAGAACTTGGAAGGTAAAGCAGAAGGATCAACAGTTTTAGTTTAGTCTGAGCTATATGAGTTACAGGCTGGTCAGTCTGGGCTGCACAGTGAGACCTATTCTAAAAAAAATGGACAATATTATTGTATGTTGCTTTCCCTTCTTAGAATTGTGTCCCTCCCTGCCAGACTACTGGTCTGATATTCTGGTATGGGTACCAGTAGGCCTAGTGATCAGAGTTCTTAGTCCTGTTTGGTAGAGCTCTATATGGACACCAATAACCTCTGATAATAGCTAAAGGAAGGTAAACAAATTTGTGTTTATAAAACGTTCTCCCAAACAGACTATGTCACAGATCTCTAAAGTCAGGGGTGTTGTAGTTACTGTATTCTGTTTATTCTCACCTTGAACTAGATGTAACTTAATGGAGGACCTTAGGGGTACATTGGCATGGCCACTACAGTTATTACTATCACTGATTTCCAAACTATTCCTTTGTGCCAGGCACCATGACAGTAATCTATTAAATTATGTATACTCTTTAATTTAATCCTGAAGACAATTTTGTAAGGTAAGAATTCTCATGACTGTGCCACCTTGGAGGACACAGCAATGGAAGACTCTCATTTCAGGTCACCCATTAGATAAGCAGTAGTGTGCAGACTCAAAACCTGGATCACTGTGCTTAACTGTCCTCCACTGTTTTTTAGCCTATTTAATTCTGCAAAAAAGTGTGTGGCTATGAGTCTTTGCTAGGCTTCTCTCTGCATCAGTTACATTTCTCATTGCTGTTGCATGGATAAGTTATACTTTTGCTTTTTCAGACCAGTGGGTAGAATTGAGACTGATAAGACACCCTTAAGAGAGGAAGGGTCTGTGTTAGCTTACAACTCGAGAGGGTATTGCCCAGCATGTGAGGAAGTCACGGTAGCCGTAGTGTGAGACAGGTGCTGTAGTGAGGAAGCAGAGAGAGATGAATGCCGAACCCCACTTACTCTTTCCCTTTTACTCAGCCCGGTACCCCAACCCATGTCTTATCTCTCAATTAACCCCGTCTACAAACTCCTTCACAGATAAACCCAGAGGTATGTCTCTTAGGTGATCCTGAATCCAGTCAAATTAAAAATGAAGACGAAGCAGGTACTAGTTAGTTTTCTGTTTCTGAGAAAAAAAATGCCATGAGCAATGCAACTTACTAAAGGAAGGATTTACCTGGGGCTTATAGTTCCAGAGGGATAGCAGTCCATACCAAAATGGCAGGGAGCATGACAGCAGGTAGGCAGCCATGATACTAGAGTAAAGCAGGAAGTCAAGAGAACACACTGGGGATGATAGCGGGCTTTTGAAACCTAACCCTACACCAATGACACCGCTTCCTACAAGGCTATACCTTCTAACTCTCCCCAAACAGCCACCAATTGGGGACCAAATTTTTAAATGCCTGAGACTTTTTAGAGGGGGCATCTTATTAAAACCACCACAAAGCATAGTGACCTCAAACTGATTGGGGGCAGAAGGTCTGTCATTTTGCATCTAGTTCTTCTCTGATCCCTGACCCTTAACATAGGTGAGGCCAGAGACAGTGTGCCCCAAGAAGATGTCAGGTCTGCTAGAGGCTGAATTATTGAGAAAATGTTCAGTGTTCTTTCTAAGAAACCGGTGGATGTGAAATCAATGGTGTGCTGCCCTGGTGACCTGCTTCATGGAGATTTAGAAACAGTTGTTCTGTGGATATATATTTAAAGAAAATGTCACTTTTCTCCCAGAGGATCATGGGATTCTGCATTCATCTTTGCCTGGGATCAATATACCGGTGAGCTAGATGTAACTTATGGAGGAATGAAAACATTTCTTGCAGAGTGAGTCAGTGTGTGAGTGCCACCATATCCAAACAGTATTTTATTTCTGTCATAGTGTTAAATCAGAAAAAAATTATATTGGTGGATGAAGAAGCCCCTCTCTAAGGAGCAATCTCTCTGGTAGGGGTCTGTTTTTTGAGGAAGAATTAAATGTTGAGAGTGGAAAATTTATCTTTGGGCTGGAGGAGGCTGCGTATTGGCTCTTAGCTGTGGCTATGATTAAAATCCAAACAATCTCTTTTCCTGGCAAATGGAAGAGGGGGTAGGATTTTCTTGTCTGCCTTCTTGATTAGTCCGCATGGCACCATCTGCCATGAGCCATCTAGACTGCCAGGGTCTGCTTAATGGAGCCTGTGGGATGGGGCTTGGGGATGTGTCCGGTGCTGTCAGGAGGAGTTTTGGCCTTGTAGGAGAGGGACTCAATGTGCTGTGATAGCCAGGAGAGGCACAAGCCAGGCGAGGCTTCCAGGGGGTGTCTGCAGAAACAGACAGGTAAAATGGGATATTTAGCCATTTCTTGGCACGCTTCCTTCTTCCACGAAGGCTCCTGTGAGGGTCTTTGCCATGCCCCAACCAGCCTCTCTCCTCCATTACAGTCTTGGATGAAACAGTTGATACTACAGTTGACATAGTTGAGAATCCTCATTAGAAGGGCTGAGTATGTACTGCATTCCATCCGGAAAGGAAAAGAAAGGCCCTCATTGAGTAATGAGTGGATACAGGGTTCTGGCTCATCCCTGAAGCTACTCTACAAGGGAGTTACTACTATAACATGTTTTGAGAATGAGGGACTCAAGCCTAAGCCAAGTCAAATAACTAGGACCAGATCACATAGCTGACGAATTGGTAATCTGGAGACCAATATTAGCATTTTTAGGATGACCACCACCTGAAGGCAATGTTTCTGAAATCCATTCTCTTTCAGCCCCTAAGTTAGTGCCATAATCTGAATGCTCAACATATCCTTCCAGGAGCCAAGATGGCTGGCTCCCCAGATTGGAGCCATAGGAAAACCCAAATCATCTCAGAGCTCTTGCTGTGTGCCAAGACCCTTCTTCTACTTTTATTTTGTGAGATTGGAGGGAGGGCTTTTGGCAAGTGCCTGACTCAGTCTCCCTCCAACTCAGGAAGTGCCCTTCTTACTGAGCAGGCCAAGAGGATCTTCTGAGTAGCCAGCAGAAATTCAATGGTAGATTTGGTGGCGTCTGGCTTGGCATTGTGCTGTACTCAAGGAGTTTCTGGTTAAGGCAAGGTGCTACTGTTTTTTTCCCCTGAAACTGGAACTAAAATCAGAGCATGATTCTGAGATATTGTCTTAGAGATGAAGGATGAATTAGGAAGAAAAGATGCTTGGGTTCTGAATCCCATGGTACCCCATAGGCAATGGCAAGGGGTACCAGAGATATATCAGCCCACAACATAGAAATCCTCCAGAAACACTCTGAGAATCATTAATACATCTTGAGCAGGCTTCTCTTAATACCCCACAGGCATGGAGCAGATGAGATTAAAATAGATTGGAATATTTCATTTTCTTAAAGCAAAGTGATAATTACCTCTGTTATAATTTGCAGATTTAATCAACTTGGTTAGTACTAACTCAGTGTTGAAGAAGGTTGGGCTGACCCTGGCACTGCCCTTCCTCTCAGTCTTGGCTATGATCACTTTGAAAGCTCTCAGACAAGACACCAAGCAGTTCTGTCACCAATGCTATTGC